TCTCTGTATTTAGACTATTTTGAAGGTGGCTGTTAGACAAAGTGTAATCAGCTCTTCTATAACCCAACTCTGCTGACTGTCCTTCTGCTGTGTTCTGTTTGTTCCCATTCAAGAGTTTTGGTAGAACTATTATAATGACTATAATGACCTCGATTCACAAACTAGTGGCTGGATTTTGAATGTTTCCACAAAAAAGAAGCAGGCGCCACCTAAAAACCGCACCAATTTCCTTCTCTTTTTATATTTCTGATCCCATTCTTGTTCTCAGTGGCACAAGAAGCGGAAGCGGCGTTCCTGTGGCGAGTGTAAGGCCTGTCTGTGCAGGAAAGACTGCGGTGTGTGTGATTTCTGTATAGACAAACCCAAATTTGGAGGCAGCAACAAGAAAAGACAGAAGTGTCGTCTACGGCAGTGTCAGAGGCAGGCGATGGTAGGACAGTTGCTTAGTGAAGAGATTTTTTTTTTTTTTCTTTGCTTCTGTCTTGTACGTTGTTGTGGTAAAATAACTGTGCATTTATTTGCCAGAGACATTTGCTGCCCTTCCAGATGGGAGCAGGTGAGTATGGACCAGATGGCCCATGGATGCCTGGCAGGCCCAGACCCCACTACACATACAGCCGGAAGACCGGCCTGAAGAGAAACTCAGATCAGCCAGCGGACATGGACTTCACCGACTATGACGATGATGATGACAGCAACTCGCAGCCGGTGAGTCTCTGAAGACCTTGGTCAGACACCTTGCCGTGTCTCCAAATGGATAATGGTTAGGGGTGGGCATTTCTGGTCTCTTGCTGTTTTAGCCAAACTGGGGATTGGAGCATTCCAGACAGATCCAACAGTCATTGGATGCCGATGTCAGGAATTACCAGTCTATGCAGGTTTGAAAAGTTTGTCTACACACAGAAATCAAAGCTCTAAAACAGAACATAAATCCTTTTTTTTTTGTTCCATCAGTCAAATTATTCCGATTTTGGGGTAAAGAACGGAGTGGCGGATCGATTTCCTCACATCAGCAATCATAACTACTCCCAACCAGTAAGTTTGCATTCTCACTTCCCATCGCTTCCCTCCTTTATCACTAAAAAAAAACAAAAAAAAAACACATATGCTTATTAACTTCGACTTATTTTAAAGTCTGGGGACGACAGGTAGCTCAGTAGGTAGTAGTAGGTAATCTGTTTAAAATCCTTTTAGAATCTCATGCTGTATTTATTTTTTCCTTTCCCTGTCTTCACCTACATTTTTTCCAAATGCAACGCTATTGCTCCTTCACATATTAGGCTTGAAGAGAAGAACAGCTGTTTTTGTTTTGTTTTTTTAAACGTGGGCTTTAAAACATCCATGTTTTAACCACATTGCTGTGGACTGTGGTGTTTGTGCTCTCTGCTGGTCATTCCTCTCTTGGCTATCCTTTGCTCTCTATGGTTAGTTTATGCAAGACCTTCAGATAAAAGTGAGCCAAATTGAAATTCATCTTGCCTCATTTTGGACTTGTGTACAACACATGGCTCATGCAGGGCAGTGAGAGACGCCCTGGGTCAGTCTACTTATCTAAAATATGATAGCCAAAGTGAGCCCTCGAGGACCCATGGTTTGTTTTGTTTACATTTTTGGTTGGTGTAAAAAAAATCAAAACATTTTAAATCTATCAGGGGACTGGTTAAATGCAATAAAAGTATTTTTTGGCACTTTTAAGTAGCACACTACATTACTTTAACTGCACTACATTCAGTTAACAAAGCTGAAATTGAGTGCACCTTTTAGTCAATCTTCCTTATGTTATTTTCTTAGTTTGTACATAAGTTAATTGTTCTTTATACTCAAGAGTTGGACTGAATAGATTTCTTTGCCGTAGGACCATCACAGCCAGTGGGACACAGAGAAATCCCCAAGAGGTGTTTCAAATCACTTGGAAGAAGAGGAGGAGGAGGAGGAGGAGGAGTTACCCATGGTGAGTGCTCCTTTTTTTTCCTGTTGAAACAGCCACGGATCATCCAGTGAATTCTTTCTTGTGTTATCCACAGATTACACAGATCTACAGTTTGGCTGAGAATCCAGCTGAAAAGGGTATAGACCTAGAAAACCAGCTGATGAAATTACTCCACTCCTTGCGCTCCTCCGTACTGCCGATCCTCTGGTACGCTATAGTCGCAGAGGGCCCGCAGTTGCAGCTCATCCAGTGTTCGAAGCAGTCCACCATGGCAGACACTATAGTGTTAATCAACCCTGGCTTCTACTATCAGGTCACTGTTCAAAAACAGCCGCTGCTACCCACCCACCCGCTGTATGACACACACCCGTCACGGTTAAGTACTGCAACTGATGTGGTCAGCCTGCTGTTGTCTCTGGAGAGGTATGTCGTGTGTCAAGGACTTCCTCCGAAAGAATCGGTTTTGAACAAAGGGCTGATCATACTAGAGCGGGCAGCAACGTGTGATTTCTTGGTCAAGAAGAATGAGAGAATTTGTTCAAGCTGCAAAGCGCTACAAGGACCTCAAACTCAGCACACAGACTGAAAATCAGTCACCCAATTGAAGCAGGGACTTTTTCTTTTGCAGTTGTGACATTTTCCTCTGTTCTTTCTTTTGTTAAGGCAATGGAGATATTGTATATAGTAAAAAAAACATTTGACAGACTTACCTCTGGACTGTGATATTATGTTTTCAATATATGAAAATCACCAAAGGAATTCCACGAGCTGTAAGAATATACCTTCCCCCCCCCCCCCCCAACATTTTCATCACACTGGTATAGTTGATCTAAATAACTGTCTAGCTTCCTTTTTTTCCTCCATTGTGCGGTGTCCTTTAATTTTCCATGGTGCATCTGTCTTTTACTTGAAAAATGCCCCCTTTAATATTATTTCATATTTGAATATTAGATTATCTAAGTTTGTTTAAGAACTTGGAGTAAAGCAATGCTATTGGCAGTTGTCATCTCTGGCAACTTGGGGCTCCATGGTGTTGCTTTGCCATTGGAGCAACAGTTGGATTCTGTTTGGGAGAAGAACTTGTCTGCAATTTGTGATTGTTGTAATATGTGATTGTTATGGGTTTAAATGATTATTTCTTTCTATGGCTCCTGGTCAGTTCGGCCTTTCACCAGTTCCCACCCACCCTTCAAAATTATGCTATGAACTACTTCTATTTTCTACCAATGCTCTAAAGTTGCAATCCTTTTTTTTATTTTTATTTTATGGATAAATTATAATGAGAATATGATTACCTTAGGTAGATATTATTTACAAGAGCTATAAAGTTCAATATAGTTCACAAAAACTACTTTCAGTCTTGTCACAAAGACTCTTAATTTAGCCATCTTTGGTACGAAATGTTTTATAGGCAGCGACCAAAACCACAAATGAGTTTTTTTTTTTTCAATTGGCAATTATTATTTCCAATTCTTTTTTTTTTTTTGTTAAACTGTTGACATGATCTGTTGTTTTGAGTCTTCAATACCCAATTGTTTGATGTATGCAGTGAAATGGACAAAATACAAAGTCATTTTAAACATCAGAAGAAGAAAAAAATCACTGTTAAACTTCAGCCAATGAGAATGTGTGATAATAGTAGCAGTATAGCAATGAATGAGCTGCTCCTGAAAGATAACAAGACACTACCTCTCCATGTTAATATCTCATCAGGTTTCACTTCCTGACACAAACACAAGTGGGAACTCGAAGCACGACGAAGCTACTTTACCGTTAACTTTTCAATCGTGTTTCAATTAAAAAGTGAACGGTTCGTCTGCAGCAATGCTCGTGAAGCACTCCAGAACCACTAGTAGGTTCTTTTTTTTTTTTTTTTCTTCTTCTTTTTATGAAAAATTCCACAATGAGGTCATTTCCAGATGTTTTTGCACAAAGGATGGCATAAGTTGAGGACATTGGTATAGAATCGTTCTGAGGGCCTAAGCTAAATTGAATTCACCAGTCATGGGACTATTAGAAACTATTATATAGAATTTGAAGCTATCTGATATTTATATATTTTTTGTTTAAATTTGTCATTTTTTCCTGCTCCTTTCCCCTTGCCTTTTTTGTTAAATAACTTTCTAACAATGTGAAATTATGCATTATCAACATGTTTTGTTTCTTTTCTTTTCTTCCCTTATGTGTGTGCATTTAATGCGACCAAATTCTGTTGCAATTTAGTTTTTTCATTATATTAAAAAATTTAGATCAAAGGCTTTTGAATGAGCCCCCTACCAAAAAAAAAAAAAAGGCTGTCCAGAAAACCAGTTTTTTTTTTTTCCTCTTTATGTATTTGACATGATACTGGTGAACGTTTTGGGTTAATTTTGGGTTAATTGTATTTTGGTCACACAAAACAGTCCACTGTTGTTAATAAAAGAATGAAACCTTCACTTTGCATTCTTTAAACCCAAACCTATCAGCCACTTCTGCTACATATCCTCCCAGCTTTATGTTCAACATCTCATTTCCAGTGTTCTCTCTGGTAGCTTCAGTTTCCTGGACCATTAAACCTGCACCTTTTCCTCTATGATTTCTTTTTTTTTTTAATATTCAATTGTTTTTCCTACCCATGTTTAATTGCTTATTTGAAATCTTTATCTCCTACTGTATTTGAGTTCCCCCATATTCTGTACCTCTTTACAGTTAAATCTGATTCATTTTGTTTAAATCTGTGCGGAACCGGAAGTATTCATCTCCATTAAACACTGTTAAAACATTAAGCTAAAAGAAAAGCTGAGATAAATAGGAATTCTGAGTTTAAAGTCATAATTCTGAGATTAGTCATGATTCTGAGAAAAAAAGTCAGAAGTCTGAGATTAAAGTCAGAATTCTGACTTTTTTCTCATACTATACTGAGATAAAATTTAAAAATCAGTTGCATTTAAAAAAAAATTCAGTGGGCCTAATCCTCTGCTGTGAAAATAGTCTCTAAACGAGAAAAAAAAAAAAGCTTTTATTTCCCTCCAATGATCTGTAGCATCTGGGAGGGGCCTGAGTGTTGTGACAGTGGAGCCTCAGCTGGCTTTGCTCCTCCGTCTCTATAGAAGGGGGAGCTTTCTTCTCGCTGACTGAGATGCGCGCGGCTCCGACGCAGCGGAGGTCGCGAGGCTTCTGGTGAATTACAATTGGCACGCGGAGCCAACATGAACCAAAGGCTTTTTCCCCCCGCGTGAAACCAATTCCCACACGCTTTGCAAACTGTAGCATTATTCCAGCATTCTGGTTCCGGTCTGAAATCTGGCGCAGGGATGTTTTTGCCCACCTGAGTTGTGCTAAAAGGAAAAAGACCTTGGAAGGCATCGGTCATGCTCTCTGGTAAGAGGAGCTTCAGCTCCAACATGTCTCTCTCATCCCTACTGGGCGTATCTTCAGCAGCTTTTATATTTTATATAAAATTATAAGAGCGACGTCAGCAGCTGTCACGCTGAATGAAACGCATATTCCGTTTTTGGTTTAAAGACGCACCTGTGATGTGTTATTACTAGAATGAATTAATCCTTATTGAGTCTTAATGCGGGATCTGCAAAGCCGGGCTTTAAGGGTGAACACATGCTGTTTGCTATGTCACGTCTGCGCATATCAATGCAAGGACTCTGTGGAATAAGGCCAAAGATTTTTTTCTTTTTTTAAATCTGGGTGCAGATGAGCGCTCTATTATGAAGGAAACTGGATTAATCAGGTGCTATAAAAGAGGAGCCCTACAAATGTGTGTCAGGCTTTGTGGGAATCCAACCTGTCCCTGATGTTTCTTTCTCAATCAGGATCCTGATCCAGCTGCTCTCACATGTTTCCACCTATGAGGACTGCCTGTTCTCATGCAGACGCTTTAAGCCCTGTTATTAACAGATTCCTGAACAAGGAGGCCTGCATGTGAAAAAGGCTAATCCAGGAGAAGTTGCTGTTGGTCAGCTAGAGGCTTCAGGGTCCCCTACTCACCCCCTGTGCTTTGTTATATCTGGGAAACGCCTCTTTGTTTTCAAGGTTCAAAGATGGTTTTAACCCAGGTGCTGCTGGTCCACTTGGGTCTTGTTTGAAGACAAAAAATTGCTTCATCCATACCAGGAGTCTACAGCCATTCATATCCAAAGAGCCGTTTTGCCCCATATACTTTGACAACTTTTGTCATTTTGTTTACACACAGTGTTTACAAAACAAAATTTCATGTTGTGCCACTTTTATAACAATACTTAAAGTGCAGCAGTGATCAAATGTAAACATTGTTTCGAGAAAAAGTAAAATGTGTTGGGGAAAAAAAAAGCATCGATGTGGAAATTCAGAGCAATAAATATATATGCTGCAATTGTGCAGTGTTTTGGTGTTATCAGTGTGATGCAGACAGTCTGTGACACGATTCAGATCAGCTGTCTGATTGCAGTGGAAGAAGCTGTTTCCGAATCTGCTGGGCCTGCATCAAATGCTGTAAAGCAGGGAGAACTGTCCATGGTGGGGGTGTGAGGCTTCATTGATAATGCTACGGGCTCGGGACACGCAGGGCTTGGATAAAATGTCTTTTATGGAGGGAAGAGGAGTCCTGATGATCCTCTCTGCTGTTCTCACTACTCTTCTCACTAGTGTTGCACCGATACCAGTATCGGACGGGGCCCCGATACTGCCTTAAAATGGTGGTATCGGTATCGGCGAGTACCAACAAATAGGGCACCGATACCATTTTGAGAGCCATAAGTTTATTCAATTATTGTAACCCACTCCTGGTAGGCAATAAAAAGTTCTACTGGATTCACTTTGTATTAGATTTTTTCCTGCTTCACAAAGGTAGGCAGTAGCTCGACAAAGCCATGATGGCAATTATTTTACATTATTATGGTATCTGTATACGATACTGCACAGCCAGGTATCGGGTATCGGTATCGGGGCCAAAAAATGGCATTGGCGCAACACTACTTCTCACCTTCTTCCAGTCTGAGGCGCTGCAGCCTCCACACAGTGAGACAGCTGGTTAGAATGCTCTCTATGGTGCTTCTGTAGAGCAGGGGTGGGCAATTCCAGTATCCTGCAACTTTTAGATTCTTAGTCCAACACACCTGAATCAAATGGCTGAGTTGCTTCCTTAATATGTGTTGAACAAAAGGCACATCTAAAAGTTGCACGATACTTGCCCTCGGGAAGTGGAATTGCCCTCCCCTGCTGTAGAGGGTTGTGAGGATGGGTTTGGGCAGGTGGGCTCTCCTCTTCCTCTGCAAGAAGTACAAATGCTTTATGCCCTTTTGACCAGTGAGGTGGTAAACAGGACTTTTTCCAAGAAACAACCTTTGTTTTTATTATCTCGTATAGAAAATTAATTGCAATCTTAAACAATCAACATTTTTTTTTATTTTTAGCTTTTAAAACAATATTAAAACATATCATTTCCAAGCGAATTAAAAGATAAATGGCTCTTAAGACATTTTTCTGGTTCTTTTAATTTTAATGCTTTTTCATCTTGTAAAAAACACTAAAGCTTTTAATACTGCTATTTATTATAGTACATTATTTAGCTCTTTGTATACATTTTAGCCATTATGAAGAGCCGCTGGAGAGAGTCTGGAGCCACATGTTGCAGACCCCTGATCTATACCCTATGGTAAACGATCCAATTAATCAAATATCTCCATGTTTTTAAAGTGCTAACCCAAAACAGCTTATTAACTTAATGCTTTTAGAGGCTCAGCAAAATGTAAAGGTAAATTGTTTAAAAGTTATTTAAAGTCTTGGACACATCATTGTTTATTCAAATTAAATGGTCATAACGTGCTGAAATGCTGGCTCATGTCACGTGACCACAATACTTCTCTGTGTTATGGCAGCCGGCAGAGAAAACCAACATGCATTTGTAGTAAATACAGTTTCCATTCTGAAACTTTTCTTCCTCCTTTGTTTCCCTTGACTTTATTTTAAAAACCTCTTTGATTCTGATGATGGACTCGAGTCTTCTTCCCTTTAAGTTTCACATGGAAGAACGTTGTGCTCAGCTCAACCTGGATTGCTAGTCTGGCATAAAGTCAAACAATTCTACCAGCTGATTTCTCTGTGCTTTCATAAATATTATTTATCATTCTTTCTTTTTTGAACATTCTTTATTTAAGAATATAATAAATTCAACACTTATACAAATGTATTTTCATGTATGCAACTACAGAGAACATCAAACCCAAAAGTAGTGGAGAAAAAAAAATTAAAAGATTAAAAAAATAAAATAAAATGCAATAAAATAAATAAATGAAAAAGGGAAAACATTCAAATCTGTTTCAGCAACTGACAGTTCTTAGAGGGGTCTTCGTTAGCTCCCATAAACGGGAGGTGTATATGTCTAGTGTACCATAAAAGAGGGGAAATACGAACAACAGGGGCTAATATCATTTTTTTAGTAGCATATGAGGCTCTTTATCTGTGTGGCCATCCAAAATGGTCAATAACTGGGGCCCACACTTCCAAGAATATGTCCATTTTCACATGAAGTTGTGCTGTTATCTTTTCCATTTTATACACATTCTTCAACCTTTCTTGCCATTGTTGAAGGGTTGGGGGCAGAGTTTTAAGCCAAGGCAGAGTTATCATTTTCCTTGCTACTAATAGCAGAATCAGTAGTAATTGGGCTTCCCTTTTCCAAATATTTTCTTTTGGGATCAAACCTAATATATAGTACAGCGGGTTCAGTGGTAAAGTAAACTTAAGTATTTTTTTAATTTCTGTCTGGATCCCTTTCCAAAATGGAATCAGTACTGGACAGTCCCAAAAAATGTAAGTGTGGTCCCCAATCTGATTACAGTTCCTCCAGCATAAATTTGAGACATTTCTGTCATATTTTGAGATACTAAAAGGAGTTTTAAAGAATCTCATTCTATTTATCATACTTTAAAACTCATTTTGTTAGTTTTATTGCTGCTATCTTTGTATATTCTACAACGGAGCGTTTTAGTAAAAACCCCATTCTTTTGTGCCGTGGATCCAGCTCTTTTTAAATCTCACTGCACCTAAGCATTTGCACAGATTTAATATCCAACTAGGCGTGGAGGAACCAAGTCCCAGACCTTATCAAGTGATGCTCTTGTCAGCATCAGGATAACCTACTTTGTTTTCAAATCTCAAAACCGTAAAAAAAAAAAAAAAAAAAAAAATCAGAAAGTCTACTGTATGTGCGTGTAAGCAAAGCTTCTGACTGCAGGCTGCTTTCATAAATCTGACTGAAACAAAAGCCCTGAGCTGTTTCCAAAATCAACAAAGAGGATTACAGCCGGCATGGAGAGTAGAAACTCTCTTTAGGATACAAGCAGAAGTCCCTCCAGGTGTGTGGAGTAGAGGGGAAAATGTACTGGAATAATCCCCTTGGACTACAGAAGCACATTCCTTTCTTTATTGCTACCCCCACACCCCGTCATTGCAGATTCCAGGTGGATTGCAATCAGCACTTCTATGTTTTGCCCTTGGTCACAGCAAAGGTTAGTTGGGGCTTTTGAAGAGGAAACTGAGCTACTTTATTGGTCATATCCCTCTTGAATTTGTGCATGTGAAGATAGTTTTGTAAAACGGTTTGGTGAGTTGCTCTGAGCTGGCATCAGCCTCAGCACAGCTCTGTGGTCTGAGTCACTTAGATGGGGGTAGGTCTGTGTTAAATCCTCCACACTGGAAAAGATGCATCTGTGATCCAAGAGGGACAGAGCAAGGTTCAGAGGACAAAGGCAGGTAGTGCAGTCGCCCCATGCTGCTCAGATCTCTGATCTTTGTCATGGTTATTTCAAAGCTAAACACTTAAAGCTGGGATCCTCCCACTGCTCTAACTGGAGGGGTGAAATTGTCACCCTGACCAGGGTGAAAAGCCCAGGGTTACCATGTGTAAGTTGACAACAGCAGCAGCTGTGTAAACGCCAACAGTCAACATGAGGGTGGCAGCCTCACCTGTCCACAGCGAGCTGGAGGAGAGCTCCCAGCTGCTCAGACTGACACAGTGGGGGAAAGAAAAAAACTTTTGTGATGACATATTAATTTCTAAGTGAATGTATTTGTTCAAGAATGAAGATATAATTTTTGTGTTTGAAAATGAAACTCCTGTTGTTTGCATCTGTGTGTTGCAGACAGCCCATGTTTACCTAACACACCTTCCTGAGTGCTCTCTGAACCGTCCCCTGAAGCAGTCCACATGTAAAGTCAACATGCGTTTGATGATGGCCTGATGTTCAGGCCTCTTCTATTGATGTTTAATGCAATCCTTTCTTTGATGCTGCTCTCTGAGACTCTTTATCTGATTCTCCACTGTCCCACCACCATCCCTCTGGAATCCTGCTTCCTTTGTACCTGCCCACATCTGCAAACCAGATGTT